CATTCCTGCGGGGATACTGATGCCGCACAAAGTCCATGAGCCTCAAAGCTCTGCAGACCTCAGACCATTTCCTTTGGACAGTGGTGGCAACTGGCCCGAGGCCCCTGGTGACCTCGTGTGTGTGAGCCCCCGCTCAGGGACGTTTGGGGGCTGGAGAGGGCCCTGCAGAGGCCTCAGCCACTGAGCTGGTGCCGTGGCCCCGTGCAAACCACATTCCTGGGTCAGCCTGGGCCGGCTGCGAGGGATCGTCATGGGACCAAGTGAAAAGTTTCAGATCAGAGAAGCCCGAGGTTGGGTTTTTAAACAAAAACCAGATGAATCTGTTCAGAACCCCTCAGCCTTCAGGTCCTTCAGTAGAGAAACGGTGCTTCCGGGACCCGCTGACCTGCTTGGCAGCAATTAGACATCCAGGCAGTCGGTCACCTGTCCCCACCGAGTTCAGGCCTGACCTCAGGGCTCTTAGAAAACTGTCCTGGGAGAGGGCTGGGGTGAGGGCTGCAGGGAGGAGCCAGGTAGGTAGGAGAGGTGGGGCCCTGGGTTCCCGGAGTTCACTGTGGATCTGGGGCTCCTTATCCTGCGGGGGACGGGAGGGGAGCTGGGGTCCTGGGAGGGTGCGGGCAGTGGGGCTGCCAGATCACATGGGGTGGCTCCGCTGGGCCCCGGCGTGGCACTAGAAAGGGGGTCTCCGGGACCTCCTCATTGCTGTGTGTTGCAGCCTAGCCTGTTGCCAGACAGGGCGTCCTGGTTCCCGGCCCCTGCCGGCCCCTGTGACGCTGTGACACCATGCGTAGCCTGGCTCTCCGGCGTGGTCCTTAGTCCTGCCCATCGACCCGGCTGGGGTGGGCAGTCTGAGCCCCGGGGAGGACCGAGGGGCTCTCCAGGGCAGCGGCATCTGCAGCCAGCAGACTCTGGGTGCTCACTGCTGCCCACCCCACAGGTGCCAGTCCCGCCCCCATGGGGCTGACATGGAAGGAACGGACCTTCACAGCCCTGCTGGGGGCTGCAGTGGTCTCAGGCCTCACCACGCTCATTCTCTTCCTGGTGGAGGCCACCAACGTCCTCCTGCCCGCAGACACCAAGGTGTGCCCCCAGAGCCCACCCAGGGGAGGCTGGGCTGGGCCGTGACGGCCCCTACGCCCTCCTGACCCTGATGTCACTCCCAGTTCGGGATCGTGTTCGACGCTGGGTCCTCCCACACATCACTCTTCGTGTATCAGTGGCTGGCAAGCAAGGAGAATGACACAGGTGTGGTCAGCCAGGCCCTGGCCTGCCAGGTGAAAGGTCAGTGGGCAGTTCCATCAACGGTGGGCGGGTGCCGGGAGCTGCCAGCCGCTGCCCGGCTGGGGTTTCCAGCTGGATGGAGGTTTGGGAAGTGGCACCGGCTGGAGCTGGGCAGTAGCAAATCTACCTAAAGGAAAGGGGCTCAGAGAGGTTCAGTGAGTTGCCCCACGGGGCCCAGCTGCTCAGTGGGAGCTGGGCCAGGGCTCTGGATCTGTCCTGCCTGAGCCTGCAGAGACCCGAAACAAACTATTCCAGCTCCTGGGGCTCCAGACGTGGCATCCCTCCAACCTCTCCCTCGGACTTCACGTGGCCTCTCCCCTGTGTGTCTCAAATCTCCCTCTTCTGTCTCTTGTAAGGATGCCAGTCGTTGGTTTCAGGGCCCACCTGGGGAATCCAGGATGATCTCATCTTAAGATCCCTAACTTAATGACATCTGCAAAGACCCTTTTTCCAGATACGGTCCCATCTGCAGGCTCTGAGGGTCATGACGCATCTTTGGGGGCTGCTTTTCAACCTCCCACAGGCCCTTTCAGCTCAGCTTCCTTCAGGGCCTGGAGCCTTGTCCTGTGGTGTTGTGTTTCAGGGCCCGGCATCTCTTCCTACGCCTCTGACCCCGCACAGGCCGGCGAGAGCCTGCAGGGCTGCCTGGAGGAGGCGCTGGCACTGATCCCAAAGGCCAAGCATCAGCAAACGCCCATGTTCCTGGGGGCCACAGGTGGCATGAGGCTGCTCAGGTGCGGGGGCTGGCGTGGGCCCGCACACGTCCCTGGGGTGCAGTGTGTGAGCCGTGGTCCCTGCTCAGGCGGGATGGAGGAGGGGTGGCTTCTGCCAGCTCCAGCGTCCTTGTCCTCTCCGTGCAGCCAGAAGAACAGCTCTCAGGCGGAGGACGTCTTCGCAGCAGTCAGCCAGGTCCTGAGCCGGTCTCCCGTGGACTTCTGGGGCGCTGAGCTCCTGGCTGGGCAGGACGAAGGGGCCTTAGGTTGGGTCACCATCAACTACGTCCTGGGCCTGCTGGTGCAGGTGCCACAGACGGCCCCAGGGTGGGAGGGGCGCCCGTGTGGGAGGGGTCATTGTGGCCGGCCCCAGGGTGGGAGGGGCGCTCGGGGGGGTCATTGCGGCCCCAGGACTCAGTGCCCACTGTCTGTGGTCAGTACTCCTTCTCCGGAGAATGGATCCAGCCTCTGGAGGGGACGTTGGTGGGCGCCCTGGACATGGGTGGGGCCTCCACCCAGATCACCTTTGTGCCTGGAGGCCCCATCCTGGACACCACCACCCAGGCCACCTTCCGCCTCTATGGCACAGAACACAGCGTCTACACCCACAGCTACCTGTGCTTTGGGCGCGACCAGATGCTGAACCGGCTCCTGGCCGGGCTGGTGCAGGTGGGCTGCTCTGCGGGAGGAGGGCGGGGCGCCCTGCCAGGCGGGTGCTCAGAGGTGCCCCCACCCTCCCCGCAGAGCAGCCCGGGCCTCCTGGTGCGTCACCCCTGCTACCACAGCGGCTACCGGGGCACGCTGGCCCTGGCCCCCCTGTACGGGTCGCCCTGTGTCCAGGCCGCAGCCCCCCGAGACCTCGGCCAGAACCTCATTGTGGAGGGGACGGGGAACCCCGGGGCCTGTGTCGCCGCCATCCGGGGTCTCTTCAACTTCTCCAGCTGTGACGGCCGAGGAGACTGCGCCTTCGACGGGGTCTACCAGCCCCCCGTGCGGGGCCAGTTCTATGTGAGCCCCCGCGGCCTGCCCTCGGGGCCAAGCTTCCCCTCGGGGCCCCAGGGCCCGACCCCAGGGGGCCCTTGGGGAGCCTGGGACCCCAGGTGGGGCGGGGCGCGGCGGGGCGGAACCTGGCTCATCCTGGGCCCCCGCCTTGCGCCCGCCCGGGCACTTCACCCCCTCCCAGGCCTTCTCCAACTTCCACCACGCCTTCCACTTCCTGAACCTCAGCTCCAGGCCACCGCTGGCCACGGCCAATGCCACCGTCTGGGAGTTCTGCCAGAGGCCCTGGAAGCTGGTGGGTGGATGCGGGCCGCCCGCCCCCCACCTGGGCCCCAGCTCCCTGGGCTGCAGACTCCACCGAGCGGGGACCCCGTCCCAGGCAGTGTGGCCGGGGGGCTGGGGGGCTCCAGGCAGGAGACTCAGGGGCATGCCTCCGAGGGGGGCCAGCCTTGGGGGCCCAGGAGGTGAGGCCTCATGGGGCTCCTGGCCTCCCGGGCCCCCAGGTGGAGGCGAGCTCGCCCGGGCAGGACCGCCAGCTGCGCGACTACTGTGCCTCGGGGCTGTACATCCTCACACTCCTGCTCGAGGGCTACGGGTTCAGCCAGGAGACCTGGGGCGGCATCGAGTTCCGCAAGCAGGTGACGGCTCAGGGCGAGAGGGGGTTGGGGCTTTGGGCCGCCGCCTGCAGCCTGACCGGCCGTGTGGCCCGCAGGCCGGTGGCACCGACATCGGCTGGACACTGGGCTACATGCTGAACCTGACCAGCTTGATCCCAGCCGAGGCGCCCGCCCAGTGGCGGGCACAGAGCTATGGCGTCTGGGTGGCCGGAGTCGTCTTTTTGGTGTTGACCCTCACGGCCATTCTCGGGGCCACTGTGGTGCAGCTCTGGCTCCGGGACTAGGCTGGCTGCCACCTGGTGCTGGAAGGCAGAGGCCTGAGCTGGCCAGAGCCTTCCTGAGCCCTGACCCCCAAGGCTTGCCCTGTGGGCTCTGGCCCCATGGTCACATGGCCCCCTTTTGCCGTTGGGGTCATTCTGGCCACGGAGGCTGTGCCGTGGCCCAGACCATGGCCTTCAGGTCCCAGCGCCCCAGCGCTTCCCATGTTGCACGAGGGCTGGGCCATCGCGACCCCTGCAGCCCTCAGGGCTGTGTGACTGCAGACCTACGGGTTCAGGGCCAGGCCGAGCCTGGGAGTAGGGGTGACTGCTGGAGGTAGAGGGGGCCCGGCTCTTTGGGAGGGGCCGGCAGCGGGCCCTGGCCTCTCCAGGAGCTGGCAGAGCCAGTGTACAGGCTCTGTGGGCTTTTCCCAGAGCGGCCACCCCACCCCCTCGGAAGCCTCAGTCAGGTCCCCTCAGTGGCCAAGCCCAGAAGACGGACCACACCTTGGTGGGGGCAGATCGCCTTTATTAAACCCTCCTTGCCACGGACTTCTTAGCGCCAAGCTCCTCACGTGCGCCGGACGGCCGGGACCACGAAGCACTTGGGGAAAATCCCGATGCGGCCGTCACAGTGGCCCTCCAGCCATGCCTGGTCCACTGCAGCGGGCGTCAGGGCATCACCACATCTGCTCGCAGACACCGCGTCTGCCCCGGGGCCCCGGCAGGGCGATGGGGGGCGGGGGCAGTGCCAGCTCTACCTTCGCACAAGACGTCCACAGTGTCTCCCAGTTGCAGGGCCAGGTCCTCGGGCCCCTGGGAGGAGTAGCCGTGCCGGGCCACCACCTGGTAGAGGACAGGCCGGCCGCCCACACCCTGCGGCAGTGGGGAGGGCTGTAGGGTAAGCTCGGCACGGAGAGAAGGGCTGGACATCCCCGCCCCGGGCCACCCCCCGCCCCGGCTCACCTGGCACCGTAGCTGCAGCTCCCCGGAGCCGGCAGCCGCGCCCCGCCAGGCCCTCTGCAGTGCCTCCTCCCCGGTGAGGGGCACCCAGCCCCTGCTGTCACTAGGGTCTCGGTAACTGCAAAGAGATGCCTCAGAGTGGGCAGCACGGGCAGGGGCTTTAGGGAGGGTGCTGACCTCTGACCTCAAAAGCCTCTCCCAGGGCCGGGACTAATAGGTGCCCAGCTTGGAGCCCTCCCACCCGGCTTTCCAGCTCACCTGAGCTGCCCACTCTGGGCCTGGGGAGGGAGGGCCTGGCTCATCAGGGCCCGCAGGCTGGACAGGTCAGCTCCTCTTGGGGCCCTCAGGGCCAGGGTGAAGGCACACTGCACTGTGAAGGTCACCAAGGACTCGGGGCCCCCTGCAGCCACACCCTGGGTCCAGGCAGAAAGGTGGTTGGTCTCCAAGGCCCCAGATCTGTGTGCCCAGGACTGCCAGGATGGGCTTCGGGCCAGGGGGCAGGGCAGGGACCCAGAGGGTGGGAGGGGGCTGGGGCTCTGGACTTGTGAGGCTTCTTTAGCTGGGGTCCCTAGAGGCATTCGGAGGATGGGGTCTGGCCTTGGAGCCCCACATCCCTCGGGGCTGGAGGGTGACATGAGAGCCAGTGCCTCTTACCCCAGCGCCTGCAGGATCCTCAGAGGAGCCAGGGCCCGGCCCCCCAGCTGCCAGCAGCCCTGCGGAGCGGGGAGGAGTCAGGGACTCCGGTGGCTACCGACCCCCACAGTAGAACATGTCGGAGTAGAGGAGACGCTGGCACCACGTGCCCAGCAGGAGCCCCAAGGCCACCAGGTTCCTCCCCAGAGGACAAAGAGGCTGCTCCCAGCCCCGCCCAGATACCTGCCTGGGGCTCCCTCCACAACGTGCCCTCCCACTACCAGCTGCTCAGGGCGCCTCACCTGGAGGGACCCACTGGCCAACTTGCTCCACGTGAGGCTTCTGCAAGGAAAGCCACAGGCTGGGGCTCTGCCGGGCCGGGGTGGGGCCCTGAGGGTGGGGGTAGCTTTCCCTGGGCCTGGAGCTCATGGGTGCAGTGCCCAGACACTGTCCAAGCAGAGCCAGTGGTGAGGGGCATGGCCTGCAAGACAGCCTGGCCAGGCAGGAAGCCACAAATCTAACGGCGTTGGAGGTGAATTCGGGGCATGAACCAGGTCCCTATAGACCTGGAGACTACAGACAGGCCACCTTGCACTGTGAGCACCAATCCGTCTTCGCCTGGCCCACCAGGAGGTGGCAGCTCCAGCTGGGGTTCCCGGTGACCCTGGGGGCTGGGGACCAAAGCCAGGGACCCGCTGGACTTCACCCTGTGTTGGGACCCTAAGCAGTGGGTATGCTGAGGGGCGGCAGAAACCCCAGAGGGCCCCAGTCCTGGCCACACCGCCCAGCTGACTCAGCTCCTGATTTCAGGTGGGATCTGAAAGTTGGACTAAGTTTGTAAACGGAGTGTTTAGATTTTTATCAGACTTGTCAGCTGTTTAAAGCAATTAGGAAGCTGCTGCCCATTTTCAGGAGGGTCAAGTGCTCGAACACCCAGTAGGTGAACTTAGGGCCATGGGGTTTCATCAAGCACAGCTGTGATGGATGGCTTTCAAGGGCACCATCTGTCCACTGAGTTAGCTGGACATCAGTGAAAGAGGAAGTGAAATGACCATCTCGTTTTAAACTGAGTCCTTTGATAAACTGAATGTGAAATTTAACCACCTTCTCTGTGCTGGGCGGCCTCCCGGCTCCTGGTGCTGGCTGCACACCCCTCCCGGCACACCTGCCCAGCACACCTGCCCAGGAGAACCCTGTGCCCCTCCCTTCCTCGGCCTCACCCAGTGCCTGGGGCATCTCGGGGAGTCCCATGTCCAAGAATGAAGGCCGGGGGCCCCAGATGAGGGGTGGGAGCCTCATGGCTATGACGCACGGGCTGCAGGCCCCTCCCAGGCCCAGGGTGGGGAGCAGACACCCAGGCTCCTGTCTACGCACATGTGAGCAGCAGTGTGTCCCTGACCCATGGCGTCCGGTCACTGTGGCTGGCTCCTGCCAAGTCCCTGGCCTGCCTGAGGAAGCCGCAGGTGAGGAGGCCACCTGCCCTGCCCTGAGACCCTTGCGGGGCCCAGCTGTGGCTGGTCCTGAAGCTCAGCCTGGGGCAGGGGTCCTCCAAATACTCTGGGCCCTGCCTGCCCTGCCCGGGCTCACCCACCTGTTCGTCATTGGTGACCAGTGTGCCATGGTCAGCCCGCCCAGCCTGGCCAGAGCTGACCTCCATCTCCGCATCAAGGGGAGTCCTGGGGCCACAGCGGGTACCAGGTCTGGAGGGGCCTGTGTCACGGGCCCTGGAGGGAAGGGAGAGGGGTCCTCGTTCTCAGGCCTCACCCAGCCAGCACAGAGGTCGAGGTCCTCCGTGAAAGGTGGGCCTAGGAGAGCCCTGAGCTGGAAACAAGCAGCAGCCCAGTTGGACCGCCACCTGTGAGGCTGCATCTGGCGGGGCCGGCAGGGCTGCTCCCATCGGCCTGCAGCCCAGCCCGCACCCCACACCGGTGCCTCTGGTGCCCACCCCCAGGCCTGAGCAGAGCTTCAGTGAGGGGCAGGCAGGCTCTTTCCCCAGGAGCAGAACGGGCTCAGGACAAATGGGGGCACAGGGAAGGCTGAGCAAAAGGCGGGACCCCTCGCCCTGCACCGGGGCCCCGGCCAGTCCAGAAAGGGGACACAGCCCCCTGGCCCCTGGCCCGGAGTGGCCACACTGGGTCTGCAAAGGGCCTCTGCCGACAGCAGAAGAAGAGTGGGGGCCACGGCCCCTTCCTACCGTTCGGCAGCCGCAGGCCTGGCTTCACCACGCGCGTAGAGAGCCTGTGGGCACACAGTG